CCCTCGCCATCTGAAGAGTCCGTCACCGGGCCCCTGCCTTCCTTGGCGGCAATTGAGGGAGCTGCCGCCTCAGCGGGTCCCTCAATCGTTTCACATTCACTGGAGGAGGCTGCGCTCTCCTCCATTCTGTCCTCCTTCTCGATCTCCTGCACGTTGACGTTCTTGGCGGCTAAAAGCGATTCCGCCTTCACCGCCCGGTCCCTCCAGAAAGCGACCTCCATCAATGTCTTCTCCAGCTTGGCCTCGAGCGCCTCAAAGCACCTCAGCACCTCCTCGGCGAGTAATGCTTTGGACTCCTCCATGTCCTGCAACTCACAAATCAGATAAAAACCTCAAAGCTCAGCACCAGCTGAATAAATGTGCTGAAAAGCACACTAAAGACAGCGTAGTTCAAAGTCTTTAAGCAGGCAAGAATGGTAAATTCTTGTAAGATAGTTTTTAACTTCGATTTACAACACTGTGTTTCTGCAGAGCGCAATGCGTAGCACGATGTTTACTGATCAAAGTACGAACTCTCTATGATGCGTTCGGCCTTGTCCTCCTTGGATAATTATTGAGCATGGATATCACTGAGCCCCGCCCTCTGGAGAAAGTTGGGATGTTTTCTTGGTTGCAGGAAATCATCTTGTTTGTTGCCAGCCAGTCCTCAAGAATATTTCCTTTTGCGTTTGGTATTCTGGAACCGATCGCTGGAGTTTTCGTATTCCAGTCTGCTCCCAGAATAACAGGTTCTTCGCAGTATTTTATTTGTCTTTCTATATCGTCAAGCATCTGTTCGTAGTCGGCAGTATCCCGATTTGGAAAGAAGTATGAAGAAACAAACAGCACTGTGTCACACTCAACACACACGTAACCATTTCCGTATATACATTTTATCACAGGCAGGGTTGTATAAATAAAAGCATCACAATTTCTATCACATCTAAAAGTTTCGGACTTGACAACATTTGGTTCCTGCCCAATAACGATATCAATCTTTTCCTCTGTGACTTTTTGCATTAGTAGATCATGTGCTGTTTTACACCTATTAACGTTAATTTGGAGGCATTTTATGACATCCCCTTTTCGGTTTCTTCCTTGATTTGTTTTTTTTTGTTTCACAAGCTCTCTAAAAGATTGTTATATCTAGCTCCAGTTGTGTGTTGTAGTCCACTTGTACGGGATAACTTTTTGCTTGTGACAGGGCCCTATGGAAAGCTGGGCATTTTGCCGTTCCCATTTGGTACTGGTTCTCGTTCTTACATAGTGGGCATGTTACTTGTCTCTCCCTGCCGCACCTGAAACACACTTTTTTTTCACTGTCCGGTCCTGAGCAGACATCTTCAGAGGGGTCGTATGCCCAACATTTGCTGCAACGGTGCACGTTTACTCTCTATTCCAATTTGCCCCTCGATAGGCCAACACGTAGAAAGGGTTGCTTTAGCAGCTCTTCAGCTTTATGTTTATCGAGCCTGGGTGTTTCCCGCGTTGGGTCTTAGCTCGCTCAATACGTAGTCCGCCTCGCTTAGTTTTCCTATTACCTTCATTAGTTCAGTCATCACCTCTTCCCTTGTGACAGTAATATTTAGACCTCTAATATGGATCGATTGCAGAGTCCTCCCCGTGCCTTCGGGGGTCTTCTAAGGCTTTTTTAATTTTTTGCATTTCAGTCTCATTTCTTTCCGTTGTTATTAGCACATTTTCATTTTTTGTCTTCCTAATTAATGCCAGCGCTCTCACGATTGTTTTTATACATGATGTAGGGGAAAGTGGGGTAAGATGGCGATGTTAAGAGAAACGCTTAAATTTAATAGTGAAAATTTGTATTTTAAGAAATGAAAACGAATATTTAAAAGAACAAATATATCTGCTACATTATTCTGATAACAAATATCACAAAACATAAATCACTTGTTTCTAAAAAAATAAAAACTGAAAACTGTCATTCTAGTCATCTTACCCCATACATCGGGTAAGATGACGAAGGCGTTGGGGTAACAATGGCTTATGTGCAAAAATCGCAATAGAACTCGCCATTTTCATACGAAGAGCATTCCTCGTGCCACCAAGACGAGCAAGACGAACATTGGATCCAATTTTCAATTGGAGGATCTGTATATAATTCGTTGCAAGCTGGACACATGTAATGACTTTCGTTATGTGCCTTCTGATTTGTAGAATTAAGACCACTTGGGCCAACCTTATCGTAGTCACATTGTGTGAATGTTGATTGATCTAAACGTTTTTCTTTTTTGTCCACGTTCGCTTTCTTTACCTTATTTTCTTTCCTTCTCATAGCTTTTTCTCCCAGTTTTAATTTTTTTTTCAATTATTTTTCTGCTTGTTTATTTTGTTTTAGTTCCAGAGCATCTTTTATAGGCGTGCTACTGATTATAGAAGCAGACAATTTTTGCGAGTTGTTGACGCTCTTTCTGCAGTTGGAATCGGTCTAATTTCTTTTAAAGCTGTTTTGTTTTCTTGAAAT